CCCAGCCTAAATTTAAAAAATCAAACAAAACAAAATAACCAGTCAAAAAAGTCTGAAAAACCACCACAGGAGCCTAAAGAGGTACAACAACTAATTGTGACAGGATCCTGAAAGTGAAAAGAGACCAGATCAGATGTAAGGAAATCTAAATAAACCATGGCCTCCAGTTAATCATAGTGCATCATTCTTGGTGCATTAATTATAACAAATGTGGATGCTAATAATAGGGAAAATTGGTGTAGGGCATATGGGAACTCTGTGCTGTATCTTCTCAGACTTTTCTTCATTGTTTTGTTCAATGTTTTTTTCCAGACAGGATCTTGGTCTGTTGCCCAGGCTGGAATGCAGGGCGCAATCACTGCTCACTACAGCCTCAGGCTCAAGCAATCCTCCCACATCAGCCTCCCGAGTAGCTGGGACTACAGGTATGTGCCATCACACCCAGCTAATGTTTTTATTTTTTATAGAGATAGAGTCTCACTATGTTGCCCTGGCCAGTCTCAAACTCCTGGGCTCAAGCAATCCTCCTGCCTCAGACTCCCAAAGTGTTAGGATTAAAGGGATGAGCCACTGTGCCTGGCTTTTTGTTTGATTTTTGAAAACCATGGTAAAACATACATAACATGCAATTTTTTATTTTAAGCACTTTCAAGTCTACAGTTCTATGGCATTACACATATTCACATTGTTGTGGAGCTATGTTCTCAATTTTTCTGAAAATCTAAAATAAAATCAATTCATTAAAATTATATGTGGATATATGTAATTTTTTTTGGAAACAAAGTCTCCCTCTGTTGCCCAGGCTGGAGTGCAGTGGCGCAATCTCAGCTCACTGCAACCTCCGCCTCCTAGGCTCAAGTGATCTTCCGCCTCAGCCTCCTGAGCAGCTGAGATTACAGGCGAGCGCCACCTGTAATTTTTCTGTTTTTAGTAGAGATGGAGTTTCACCATGTTGGCCAGGCTGGTCTCAAACTCCTGACCTCAAGTGATCTGCCTGCCTCGGCCTCCCAAAGTGCCGGGATTACAGGCACAAGCCGCCACACCGGGCCTAATAAATATAATTTTAATGAATATATTTTATTTTAGACTTTCAGAAAAAAATTATTTAAAATATATATAATTTTATAATTGTATAATTCATTCATTAAAAATATATTCACATTCATTAAAATTATATGTGGGTATAATATAATTTTAATGAATAGATTTTATTTATATATTATTATTTTATATATACATATATTTCAAATGAAAGCTAAAAGAGACTAAGGGCTAAAGAACTAAGGGGAGGGCGGGTACGGTGGCTCACAACTGTAATCCCAGCACTTTGGGAGGCTGAGGTGGGTGGATCACGAGCTTCAACTCTTAATCCCCCATAGAGTGCATGAAAGAGGAAACAAACCCAGCCCATCGAGCTGGAGATGGAACAAGAGAGCCCACCTGTAAAGCTGGGCTGCATCTCCAATACATAGAAGGGCAGGCTCGAAATAGACACATGTCCCACAAAAGAGCAAGGAAAATGACCACTGTCAAACTGAAAGTGTATAGAAAGGCTGGGTGCAGTGGCTCACGCCTGTAATCCCAACACTTTGGGAGGCTGAGGAGGGTGGATCACCAGGTCAGGAGATCGAGACCATCCTGGCTAACACAGTGAAACACCGTCTCTACTAAAAATACAAAAAATCCGAGTGTGGTAGCCTGCGCTACTCTGGAGGCTGAGGCAGGAGAATCACTTGAACCCAGGAGGTGGAGGTTGTGAGCCAAGATTGCACCACTGCCCTCCAGCCCAGGCAACAGAGTAAGACTCCATCTAAAAAAAAAAAAAAGTATATAGAAAGGACAACATGTTTACCCTTATGTAAACCACAAGCCAGCCCTTATGTTTAAATTCACAGATACCAGGCAGAAACCCTCAAGCCAGCTGAGCAAGGCTTTAGGCGGCAAGGGAGTTCGCCGTAAGACTGTCTTTGGGGGCGCATTTCAGGCAGGCAGCAGCAATAGCCAACATGGAGGCCCAAAAGCAGGGTCATGCCTGGCTTGCTCCAGGAGCACGAGAAAGGTGTGGAGTGTGGAGAGCCAAGCAAAAGTAAGAGATAAAGTCACATACGTAACAAGAGGTCGTACAAGGCCTGGTGTGCCATTGTAAAAACGTGGATCCTCCTCAGAAATATGGAGCCAGTGGAGGAGTTTGAGCAGGGGAAGAAGATCTAACGAAGAACTTTCACACACTTCCTGTGGGAGTGAACATTGGTACAATCGTATATAGTAAAAGGATCACCCTAGCTTCTCCACTACGAATACATGAATGGCCGGGCGCGGTGGTTCATGCATGTAATCCCAGCACTTGGGGAGGCCAAAGTGGGCGGATCACCTGAGGTCGGGAGTTCAAGACCAGCCTAACCAATATGGAGAAACCCCATCTCTACTAAAAGCACAAAAAATTAGCCACGCATGGTGGTGGGTGCCTGTAATCCCAGCTACTCAGGAGGCTGAGGCAGGAGAATCGCTTGAACCGGGGAGGCAGAAGTTGCAGTGAGCCAAGATTTCACCATTGCACTCCAGCCTGGACAACAAGAACAAAACTCCATCTCAAAACAAAAAAGAGGCCAGGCGCGGTGGCTCCAGCCTGTAATCCCAGCACTTTGGGAGGCCGAGGCGGGTGGATCACGAGGTCAAGAGATCGAGACCATCCCGGTCAACATGGTGAAACCCCGTCTCTACTAAAAATACAAAAAATTAGCTGGGCATGGTGGCGCGTGCCTGTAATCCCAGCTACTTGGGAGGCTGAGGCAGGTGGATCACAGGTCAGGTATTCGAGACCAGCCTGGCCAATATGGCGAAAACCCGTCTCTACTAAAAATACAAAGATTAGCCAGGCACAGTGGCAGCCACCTGTAGTCCCAGCTACTCTGGAGGCTGAGGCAGGAGAATTGCTTGAACCCACGAGGTGGAGGTTACAGTGAGCTGAGATTGTGCCACTGCACTCCAGCCTGGGTGACAGAGTAAAACTCTGTCTCAAAAAAAAAAAAAAAAAGAAAGAAAGTACATTTTAGAGTTGCTGAATTTGAGCTATTTTTTGTGTTTTTGTTTTGTTTTGTTTTGTTTTGTTTTTTTTGAGACAGTGTCTCACTCTGTCACCCAGGCTGGAATTCAGTAGTGCGATCTTGGCTCACTGCAACCTCCCTCCCCCGGGTTCAAGTGATTCTCCTGCCTCAGCCTCCCAAGTATCTAGGATTATAGGCCCCTGACACCACGCCTGGCTAATTTTTGTATTTTTAGTAAAGATGGGGTTTCACCATCTTGGCCAGGCTGGTCTTGAACTCCTGATCTCATGATCTACCCACTTCGGTCTCCCAAAGTGCTGGGATTACAGGTGTGAGCCACTGCTCAGCCAAATTTAAGCTATTAAACATTCAAGGGGAAATGCCAAGTCAGCAGGTAGATATATGGATTGACTGGGCACAGTGGCATATGCCTATAATCCCAGCACTTTGGGAGGCCAAGACAGGAGGATTATTAGAGCTCAGGAGTTCAAGACCAGCGTGGGCCACAAGGCAAAACCCTGTGTCTACAAAAAAAAAATACAGAAATTAACAGGGCGTGATGACATGAGTCTGTAGTCCCAGCTACTCAGAAGGCTGAGGTGAGAGGATCGCTTGAGCCTGAGAGGTCAAGGCTTCAGTGAGCTGTGATCATCCCACTGCCCTCCAACCTGGGTGACACACTGAAACCCAGTCTCAAAAAAATAGATAGACAGATAGATAGAGAGAGAGGTATAGATATGGAATTAAGGGGAGAATTCCAGGCTATAGATAGAAATTTGGGAGATATCAGCATACATATGGTAGTCGAAGCCATGAGGCTGCATGAGCTCGCCAGCAGAGTGAATACAGAGAAGAGAATTAAAGGCTGAGTCCTGAAGCACAACCAACAGTCTGAGGTCAGAGAGAAGAGAAACCAGAATCCAGGGGTGAAGAGGGGCAGTCACTGTGGTTAAATGAAAAACAAGAGTTTGAGGCCCTGGAAGCCACACTGAGGGAACTGAGACAAGGAGGGGGTATCCAAGGCTGTTGGGTGAGCACAAGCTAAGAACCTAGGCTCAGCACTTTGGGAGGCTGAGGCAGGTACATCATCTGAGGTCAGGAGTTCAAGACCAATCTGGCCAACATGGTGAAACGCTGTTTCTACTAAAAAAAAAAAAAAAAAAAATACAAAAATTAGCCAACCATGGTGGAGCACACCTGTGGTCCTGGCTGCTCAGGAGGTTGAGGCAGGAGAATCGCTTGGAACTGGGAGTCCAGTGAGCCCAGGAGCCCAGATGGTGCCACTGCACTCCAGCCTGGGCAACAGAGCGAGACTCCATCTAAAAAAAGAGAAAAAAGAAAAGAAAGAAAAGAACCTAGGCTTTATCTCTAAATCAGGACTGAGCATCTTACTTAGCACATAGTAATAGACATCAAGTATCCAGTCGTGCCGTGAGAAAAGCAGAGGAAATCCCAATAGTGGACTATCCTAAAAAATACTTAACTAGCACTCCTTGAAACTCTCGAGGTGGTGGTCCACACAAGACGGTGACTGAGCACTGATCACTGGCAAGAAGGCAGGCTTGGTGGAATGGCAGAGTTGAGAGTTTGCCTCAAGTAAACTACCGACCATCAGATTTTTTTTTTAGATGGAGTGTCTCATTTAGATGTAGACCCTCAGAGGGTACGGTGAGCGGTGCTTCCTCAAGCGTTACTCTCCACACTTTGTGCCTGCTACGACAGGCCTTTCCAAAAAGACTTTCTTTTTTTCTTTCTTTTTTGAGACAGAGTCTAGCTCTGTTGCCCAGGCTGGAGTGCAGTGGTGTGATCTCGGCTCACTGCAAACTCCGCCTCCTGGGTTTAAGCGATTCTCCTGCCTCAACCTCCCAAGTAGCTGGGACTACAGGCACATGCCACCACGCCTGGCTAATTTTTTGTATTTTTAGTAGAGACAGTGTTTCACCGTATTAGCCAGGACGGTCTCGATCTCCTGATCTTGTGATCCGCCCTCCTCAGCCTCCCAAAGTGCTGGGCTTACGGGCGTCAGCCACCGCCCCCGGCTGCCCATACACTTACTATGGGAGTGAAAACTGGCTCAATCTTAAGAGAACCCTTTGGCAGTAGCTACTAAAGCTGAACATGTTTATAATCTATGACCCAGCAACTCCCTTCCTAGGTATATATCTAATAGCAATCTGTACTTATGTTCACCAGAAGACATGAACAAAGACATTTGTAGCATTCTTCATGATAATCGCAAACTGGAAATAACCCACCAAAAATAGATTAGTAAATGGTAATCTATTCACATAATGACCTATTAGCCTGCAATGAAAGTGAGAAAACTACTGCTACCTACAATAACGTGGATGAATCGCACATTAGAGGGTGTAACATTGACGCGGGGAGAAAAGGGGCAGGTTAATGGATACAAACATACAGTTAAGTAAAAAGTGTAAGTTCTATCGTTCAACAGCGAAGTAGAGTGACTATAGTTAACAACTATCTATAGCTAACAACTATCTGTTTTTTTTTTTCTTTGAGACAGGGTCTTGCTCTGTCACCCAGGCTGGAGTACTGTGGCAGGATCACAGCTCACTGCAGCCTCAACCTCCAAAGTGTGAGCAATACTCCCACCTCAGTCTCCTGAGTAATGGGAACTACAGGCATGCACCACCACACCCAGCTACTTTTTTTTGTAGAGGTGAGTTTTTGCCATGTTGCCTCGGCTGGCCTCGAACTCCTGACCTTGTGATCTCATATTAGGGAGTATAATATTGTCCTCTCTTCTAGCTACTTTGAAATACACAATAGAGGCCAGGTATGGTGGCTCACACCTGTAATCCCAGCATTTTGGGAGGCCGAGGCAGATGGATCACTTAAGCTCAGGAGTTTGAGACCAGCCTGGGCATCATGGCAAAAACCCATCTCTACAAAAAATAAAAATAAATGAATAACAAAACAAAATGCAGTATAGCCGTGTGATGGAATATTATTCAGCCATTAAAAAAGAATGAAATATTGAAGCTGGGTATGGTAGTTCACACCCGTAATCCCAACACTTTGGGAGGCCAAGGCAGGCGGATCACCTGAGATCAGGAGTTCAAGAGCAGCCTGGCCAACATGATGAAACCCCATCTCTACTAAAAATACAAAAAAAAAAAAAAATTAGCCAGGCATGGTGGCAGGCACCTTTAATCCCAGCTACTTGGGGAAGCTGAGGCAAGAGAATTGCTTGAACCCAGGAGGCGGAGGCTACAGTGAGCCAAGATTGCGCCACCACACTCCATCTAGCCTGGGCAATGGACCAAGACTCCATCTCAAAAAATAATAATAATAATAATGAAGTATTGATGCATGCTACAACATGAATGAACCTTGAAAATATTATGGGGAGTGAAAGGAGCCAGACACAAAAGATGATTCTTTTTATATGAAATACCCAGAATCGGCAGGTCCACAGATAAAAAGCAGTTGAGTGGTTGCCAGGGCTGAGGCCGATGGGGAACGGAGCACGACTGCTAATGGATATGGGCTTCCCTTTTGAAGCGATGAAAATGTTCTGCCACTGTGGAGCAGTAACGGGTGTGCTACACTGTGAATGTACTACATGCCGCTGAGTTGTGCGTTTTAAAACGGTTAAAATGGTAACTGTTATGTGTATTTTAAATAAAGTAAGATAAAATGAACAAATCAGGATAATGTAATAAATCAGGATAGTTCTTACCTTGGAGTATAAAGAGGTGTAAGTGACGGGAGGGGCTGGATTTCTGGGGAACCGGTAATATTTTTTTAATCTGGGTGGGCCTGACATGGGCACATTCATTTTGTAAGGATTCATTGAGCTGTAAGAGACAATGAGTAGAGACAATTCTTTCAAGGGGATTTGCTGCAGAGTGGAGCTGAGAACGTGGGCAGTAGCTAGAGGGAGAGTGGAATCAAAGGAGAGAGGGTGGTTGGTTGGTTGGTTGGTTTGTTGTTTGTTTGTTTGAGACAGAGCCTCGCTCTGTCACCCAGGCTGGAGTGCAGTGGTGTGATCTTGGCTTACTGCAACCTCCACCCTCTGGGTTCAAGCCATTCTCCTGCCTCAGCCTCCCGAGTAGCTTGGATTAGACAGGCACCTTGCCACCACACCCAGCTAATTTTTGTATTTTTAGTAGAGACGGGGTTTCACTATGTTGGCCAGGCTGATCTCAAACTCCTGACCTTATGATCCACCCACCTTGGCCTCCCAAAGTGCTGGGATTATAGGCGTGAGCCATTGTGGCCGGCCAGGAGGGTGGTTTTAAGATGGAAGAAGTAATAGTGTTTTTGTAAATGTGAGAGTAATCTAGCAGAGAGGGGGAAATGGATGGCGTGGGAAGGACGGGAGAATCACCTGAGTGGTCCTTGAGCAAGGGAGAGGGCATGAGACGTCACGCCTGAGTGGGGAGATCCTCGGCTGGCATGGAGAGAACAAGCAGGAGGCGGAGGCACAGGGCTGCCGTGCTGGTGGGTGGGTAGAACAGTGGGCATTTGTGGCAGCTCACTTCTGGTTTGTTGCCAGAATTATTCCCCCCAGTTTACCAACGCAAAATCTCAGACTCAGGGAGAAAAGGGGTTTGCTCACAGTCACACAACTGAAGCCAGAAGTGGAGCTGAGGTCTCCCTGACTCCAGGCGTACTGCACCAAGCTGTCCGAGTGCCTAGAGTTCAGCCCCACCACGGAACACGGCACTTTCTATTGCTTGCCCTAAAACAACTTCTCAAACTTTCAGAAGAGCCTCTCTTTATATAGATTATACACACATACACACACTATATATATATAGGCTGGGCTGCTGTATTTGGCTACTATACATACACACACACACACACACACACACACACACACACACACACACGATAAGGATTCCGGAATTGGATGAGTCTGGCCTGCCTTGTGGATATGCTATACCATAGAAAAGGATTTAATCATGCTCCCTGCTCGGCCTCCATCTTTCCCGGCTGGAGAATTCTAATTGTGGAGCTTGCCCTCATGGTAAAAGCCCTTCATCACTCCATTGTCTGGCCCTTTTCCAGTCCATTACATCTTTCTTGGAATGCAGAAGCCATAACAGAAACCACAGCGGCTTCCATTTTGAAGAGCCTTTTGCAGGGACAAGGGCCCATTTATATATTCAAACTGATGGTCAGCAAAGCTGTGGCCTGCCCAAGGTCACACAGAGTGTCCACAATAGAGCCCAACCAAGAAGAATTCCAATCACCACACGCCACTGCCTGCAAGCAGGACTCCAGAGGGGCGCTGTGTTTCAGTAGAGCTCATTCACAGCCAGTGATGGGGCGTGGCAGATTGTGTCAAAGTGGCTTCAAGCATTAAGGAGGATTTGTTGTTAACTAACTCGATGCCCTGAAGCAGGCAGTCTTCTGGATTGGTTGACAGGGGCTCAACAGTGTCATCACAGTCCCAATTTTGTCCTGTCTTGCCATCTACAAAGGCTGTAGTAGGTTGGATGGCACTCTTACACGGTTTGGCTGTGTCCCCACCCAAATCTCATCTTGAATTGTAAATCCCATAATCCCCACATGCCATGAAAGGGACCCGGTGGGAGGTGATATAATCATGGGGGCAGCAGTTACCCTCACGCTGTTCTCATGATAGTGAGTTCTCACAAGATCTGATGATGGTCTTATAAAGGCCTTTTCCCCCGTTTTGCTCGGCACTTCTCCTTCCTGCCACCATGTGGAGGAGTGTTTGCTTTCCCTTCCACCATGACTGTAAGTTTCCTGAGGCCTCCCCAGCCCTGCAGAACAGTGAATCAATTAAACCTCTTTCCCTTATAAACTATCCAGTCTCTGACAGTTCTTTTTAGCAGTGTGAGAACGGACTAATACAATACCCTTGCAAAATTATGTTTTCTTCCTAACCCCTGGAACCTGTGAATGTGACCTGATTTGGAAAAATGGTCTTTCCAGATATAATTAAGAGTCTTAAGATGAGATCATCCTGGATTACCCAAGTGGTCCCTAAATCCAGTGACAAGTATCCTTATAAGAGATAGAGGAGAAGAGGGGGAGAACACCACGGAAATATGAAGCAGTGATTGGAAGCAGCCATAAGCCAAGGAGGCCAGCAGCCATCAGGCACTGGAAGAGGCAAGAAACAAACTCCCCTAGAACCTCTGGAGGGAGCACAGCCCTGCCAATACTCTGATTTCAGATTTTTCCCCTTCAGAACCATGGGAGAATACATTTCTGTTGTTTTAAGCCATTAAATTTGTGGGAATTTGTTATGGCAGACCTAGGAAATGAACACAGAAGACAAGGACTCAATTATGAGAATTAGCTGAGTCCTGAACCCTATGCCCTGCCTCTATGTGCGGGGGGTGGGGGGGGGGCGTGCAGGGGAATTAGTTTTCTCCAAAGCTCATGGACTGCATGGGAAAGGTATGGTCACCAAGAGAAGGGGAATGGATATGGGGGAGGCAAGCAGAGTGTCCACTCCAGGCACCCTGTGCAAGAAAAGTGCCATTCCCTGAGCATCTGCTCTGAGAGAGAGGAGAGCATAGGAAAGACAGTACCCTAGAGGCAAGACCTGCACGAGGTCAAGGCTCAGGGCTACACCATCCTGAGGGTGGGGGCGGGTCTTCCAAACCCTGAGAATGCAGGAACATGGAGTGCCATCCTCTTGAAAGAGTGGATATGAAAGTGCATATAAATTATAAAGATCATTCACATTTAAGAGGTTACTCCAGCTGGGTGTGGTGGCTCATGCCTGTAATCCCAGCACTTTGGGAGGCCAAGCCGGGCGGATCACCTGAGGTCAGGAGTTCGAGACCAGCCTGACCAACATGGAGAAACCCCGTCTCTACTAGAATACAAAAAAATTAGCCAGGTGTGGTGGCAGATGCCTGTGATCCCAGCTACTTGGGAAGCTGAGGCAGGAAAATCACTTGAACCCAGGAAGCAGAGGTTGCAGTGAGCCAAGATTGTGCCACTGTACTCCAGCCTGGGCAACAGGAGTGAAACTCCATCTCAAAAAACAAACAAACAGGCCGGGCGCTGTGGCTCACGCCTGTAATCCTAGCACTTTGGGAGGCCGAGGTGGGTGGATCACCTGAGGTCAGGAGTTCAAGACCAGCCTGGCCATCATGGTGAAACCCCATCTTAAAAGATAAAAATAAAATAAAATAATAAAAAACAAACAAACAAAAAAAGCTTATTCCATCCACCTGGTTGCCCAACCCAGGACCTCAAGGTCATCCCAAATTCTTCTCTCTCCCTCACCCTCCCCTCACAGGCAATCTATCCCCACTCTTGTCAGCTCTGCCTTCTATAAATAGTTCCAGTCTGTCCACCTCCTTCCATCTCCATAGCCATTACCCTAGTCGAGGTCACCATCCTCTCGCTAGACTACAGCCCCCAGCCTGGCCTCCCTACGTTCAATATCAGCCTTTTCCTGCCACTCCCCACCAGAAACTGGAAGAATCTTCCAAAAATGAAAATCTGCCCATGTCACATGCCTGTTAAAAACCTTTCAAGCCCCTCAGCATGACTTCCAAGGCCCCGTGATTACCAGACGTCATCGCTCACCCCCTCCCTTGCCAGCTCCTCCAGACACTTCAAGTCCTCTCACTCCTGGGATCTTTGCACACACAGCTCTCTCTGCCTAGATGACCCCCTCACCATTATGTGCCTAGCAAGTCCTAAGGAATTCAGCTGAGGCCGATGCAGTGGCTCAAGCCTGTAATCCCAGCACTTTGGGAGGCTGAGGCAGGCAGATTACTTGAGGTCAGGAGTTTGAGACCAGCCTGGCCAACATGGTGAAACCCTGTCTCTACTAAAGCTACAAAAATTAGCCAAGCATGGTGGCAGAAGCCTGTCATCCCAGCTACTCGGGAGGCTGAGGCAGGAGAATTGCTTGAACCCAGGAGGTGGAGGTTGCAGTGAGCTGAGGTCATGTCACTGTACTCCAGCCTAGGCAACAGAGTAAGACTCCATATCAAATTAAAAAAAAAAAAAAAGAATTCAGCTGAGAGGCCATTTCCTTTGAGGGGTCTCCTTTATCCCCCACCCCTTCTGGGATCCCCCCATGCCCCAGGCTTACCCTTTCCATAGCTCATGGATGGATGGTGTTGTAATGACCTATCCGTGTGCCATCGCCTCCGCCTCCACTCTGAGCTCTGTGAAAGCAGGAACTACGGCTTCTACCTCTTCCTCCTGAGTACACAGCATGTGCAGGTGCTGAGAAAAACGTTAATGAATAAAGATCACACCTACACTAGACTCCCTTTTCTGAAACTAAGTTCATCCTAGACCCTTGCTGAATCGAAATGTTTCCCACCTCAGTACAGCCAGCATACAAGGCTGAAAACGTGGAGTCAGATGACTTGGGTCACATCCTATCTTTGTGACCTTTGGTCAGTTATTTCACCTCCCTGAGCCTCGATTTCTCTTTTTGAAGTGGGAATTATCAACCCGACTTCATAAGAACAATCACCTGGCAGGTGGGACGCAGCCCAACGCCGTCCACCTTCCTTCCCATGTGCACACACTTTGGCTGATGTCAGCAAGCACTTGTAAAGCGCTAACCACGTGCGGATTCAGGGAGGTGCTGGGAGTAATGATGATGACCCTGACCCTAGATTTCACAATAACCACTTCTGAGAAAACTCAGCTGTAAATCCGGAGTAAATCCTGAGGATTCACAGGTGGGTTTGCCAATCAGCAGGACGCCAACTAATAGGAAGGTAACGATGAGTCAGCCTCAGCCTCTCCTCCGAAGCCCTTGGATGTCCCGGAGACGGCGGAGTCAGTGGGTCTTTACTGCCACCTGGTGGACAAATAGGATAAGGCCACAGGCAGCAGCCCAGAGAAATTCAGGCGCCTGCCTGGAGCTGCCAAATGCACGGCTTTAACTTAATCTGCCACATTTGTTCAACAGCTAATGAGAGGGTGTCAGAGGGGATCGCTTTTGAAATCAAGACTACCTCATCAGAAAAAAAAAAAAAAAAGAAAAGAAAACCAACTGCACCTTGCAAAGATTACAACGTGGAGCGTGCCTCCAGGGGAAACTTCTCTTCCTGACTCAAAGGCTGGAAGGACTGGAAAACCCTGTGAGGTGGGAGGAATATTTTCTTTTAAAACCATATTGGTGCTTTACTCCATGGGCCATCACAAAGGGCAAATCCTGGTGACATTCTCCAAACCTTGGTGCGCAGGAACCCAACAGAACTGTCAGCCCATAAACAAGGCGGGATCTAGCTCAGTCCTGGAAAACCGCCCGAAGCAGGGAGGCCCTTCTTTCCAAAGGCCTTGGCTTTGCAGCCAGACTTGCTAAGTCAACAAAGTGGGAGCCAGCCCTGCCTCCTGCCTTCCTGTTCCACCCTCCAACTTCTCTTCCCTCCACCTGGTGGTTCTTCTTGGCCTGCACGTACACACACACACACACACACACACACACTCCTCCATTTCAGTCATTTGGGTGGAAAATCTGTTCTAGGAAAACTGGGAGGCAGAATCCAGATGGGCCACCACCAGGGTTATTTTTTCTCTTTCTCCATATTCCAACCATCCTGTGAAAAGTTGGGCCCAAGAATGCAAACTCCGGAAAACCCAGGGCAGTGCAGCGCCAAGATATTTACTTAGCCCATGAGTTTACTTCCATCTCCCGAGGAGGCAGTCTCAGATTTCCTCAGGGCAGCAGCGTGTTGCTGAATCCAGCCAGTTGCTTCTGGACACAGCATGGTGTCTGCAGCCTCTACACAGTCTGCTTCTGAGAAAGCAAAGAAAGCCTCTCTGGAGGCCGGGCACAGTGGCTCACACCTGTAATCCCAGCACTTTGGGAGGCTGAGGTGGGCGGATCACGAGGTCAGGAGATCGAGACCATCCTGGCTAACACAGTGAAACACCATCTCTACTAGAAATACAAAAAATTAGCCAGGTATGGGGGCACGTGCCTGTGGTCCCAGCTACTCGGGAGGCTGAGGCAGGAGAATCACTTGACCAGGAGGCGGAGTTTGCAGTGAACCGAGATCACACCACTGCACTCCAGCCTGAACGAGCTAGACTCTGTCTCAAAAAAGACAGAAAGAAAAAAAGAAAGGCTTTCTGGAAAGGCCTGTCGTAGCAGGCACAAAGTGTGGAGAGTAACGCTTGAGGAAGCACCGCTCACCGTACCCTCTGGAGGTCTCATGACCACCAACCCCACTGGAAACACGGCACCAAGCTCAGTTAGGGGCAGGATGAAGGGTTGTGTTGCCCTAGAATTTCCCAAAAGGAAAAAAGCCATCAAATATACATAAAACAGGTGCCTCACGCCTATAATCCCAGCACTTTGTGAGGCCAAGGTGGGTGGATCACCTAAGGCCAGATGTTCAAGACCAGCCTGGCCAACATGGCAAAACCCAGTCTCTACTAAAAATACAAAAATTGGCTTGGAGCAGTGGCTCACACCTGTAATCCCAGCACTTTGGGAGGCCGAGGCGGCAGATCGCCTGAGTTCAGGAGTTCAAGACCAGCCTAGCCAATATGGTGAAAGTCTGTCTCTACTAAAAATACAAAAATTAGCAGGGCATGCTGGTGGGCACCTGTTATCCCAGCTACTTGGGAGGCTGAGGCAAGAGAATTGCTTGAACCCAGGAGGTAGAGGCTGCAATGAGCTGAGAGATTGTGCCACTGCACCCCAGCCTGGGTGACAGAGCAAGACTCCGACTCAAAAATAAATAAGTAAAATAAAAAATAAAGACCCAACACGGTGGCTCACGCCTGTAATCCCAGCACTTTGGGAGGCTGAGGCTGCTGGATCACTTGAGGTCAGGAGTTCGAGACCAGCCTGGCCAACATGGTAAAACCCCATCTCTACTAAAAATACAAAAAATTAGCCAGGCGTGGTGGCAGGCACCCATAGTCCCAGCTACTCAGGAGGCTGAGGCAGGAGAATCACTTGAACCCAATAGGCAGATGTTGCAGTGAGCTGAGGTCGCACCACTACACTCCAGCCTGGGCAGCAGAGTGAGACTCTGTATCAAAAATTTAAAAATAAATAAATAAAAATACAAAAATTAGCCAGGCATGGTGGCAGGTGCCTGTAGTCCCAACTACTCAGGAGACCTAGGCAGGAGAATTGCTTGAACCCAGGAGGCAGAGATTGCATTGAGCTGAGATCACAGCACTGCACTCCAGCCTGGGCAACAGAGCAAGACTCTGTCTCAAAAAAAAAAAGAAAAAAAAGCCATAAAACTACATATAAAAATTGTGAACAGTGCAACTCTGTTGGTTCCACTACAGTACAAAAATTGAAAGCTTTTCATCAAGATAGAAAACAAAAACAAAGAAAAATTATTAGCATTCTGGTATTGATCAAACAATGATGATACTTCAAATACATCATCTCAGCCTAGCTGATGATGCCCCCAGGACCCCAGCTGTAACACTCATGTCCCGGCTTCTGCAACCTGGCATCTCTTGCATCCTGGGGATTCACAAGGAACAACTCTGTCCTCCTAACTATCCTAATTTCTGACCCTGGGCTTCCATCCAGGCCTTCTGGGCTCTCCTCACTTACTTGGAGTTGTGCCGGGGAGGTACTCGGGGGTGGGCATCAGGTCATCCGCCAACCATCTTCAGAGGTCTTCCCTGGGCCCTTCCGGTCCCTCAGTTTCTCAGGCCTCGGGTTTTTTTGTTTTTTTTTTTTAAGCAGAGTCTCGCTCTGTTGCCCAGGCTGGAATGCGGTGGTGCAATCTCAGCTCACTGCAACCTCCGCCTCCCGAGTTCAAGCAATTCTCCTGCCTCAGCCTCCTGAGTAGCTAGGATTACAGGCACCCACCAGCATGCCAAGCTAATTTTTATATTTTTAGTAGAGACAGGGGTTTCACCATGCTGGCCAGGCTGGTCTTGAACTCCTGACCTCAAGTGATCTGTCTGCCTCAGCCTCCCAAAGTGCTGGGATTACAGGCGTGAGCCACTGTCCCCAGCCAAGGCCCGGGGGCATCTTTTGCAAGACAGTCCCGACTGCCTACAAGCACTAACATCTATCACTCTCTGAGGACCTGGCTCCCCCGGGACACTCCAAGAAGGAGGGCTTCTGTTCCATCTGCCCTTAGCATTGCCCGATCTTCTCTCTTCTGTCTTCTCTACCATATCTCATAACCCAAGATATGTTTTTTGGGTTTTTTTTTTTTTTTTTTTTTTTGCAGCGGGGGGAGCTGAAGAAAACTATTTCTTTCCAAATTTCTTCAAGATGCAGTCTGTTAGCCCAAAACCCCTTTGCCTCCTTACCAAAAAACAAATACGTAAATCCATTTTGTAAAACAAAAGCCAGAAAGATTTCTTAGCTGCTTTCAACTCTGCCGCATGCCTCCACTCAGGCAATGACAGAGAGCCAACTGCCTGTTTGCATGGAGAAGGGAATGAAGGAGAGAAAACAAATACACATCCCAGATGATAACCCAGACGCTTGACCCACACGCATTTCCTCTCCCATCACTCAAGATTTTGGCGGTGGTCAGTCGTGGTTTCTTTCTTGATAAACGATATTGTTTGAAAGAAAAGTTAGAATAAAAGTTACTCTTGCCGGGCGCGGTGGCTCACGCCTGTAATCCCAGCACTTTGGGAGGCCGAGGCAGGTGGATCACGAGGTCAAGAGATCGAGACCATCCTGGTCAACATGGTGAAACCCCGTCTCTACTAAAACTACAAAAAATTAGCTGGGCATGGTGGCGCGTGCCTGTAATTCCAGCTACTCAGGAGGCTGGGGCTGGAGAACTGCCTGAACCCAGGAGGCGGAGGTTGTAGTGAGCCAAGATCGCGCCATTGCACTCCAGCCTGAGTAACAAGAGCGAAACTCCGCCGCAAAAAAAGAAAAAAAAAAAGTTACTCTTTTGTTCCTCCTAGCAGGCTCCTAGTACCTATATTTCTCAACCGCCTCTGGCGACCTTTGATCTTCTCCCCATTCCTTCCCTTTCTCTCCCATCGCTGTCTCTTCTCAGGCAGACATTCTGAGAGGAGCTGGCCAGAAGTCACCATTGCCCCAGTCAAGAGAAGAAATGGGCCTGGCATGGTGGTTCACTCCCGTAATCCCAGCACCCGAGGCGGATGGACCACCTGATGTCAGGAGTTCGAGACCAGCCTGGCCAACATGTGAAACCCTGTCTCTACTAAAAATACAAAAAATTAGCCAGGCATAGTGGCAAACACTTGTAATCCCACCTACTTGGGAGGTGGGATGATAGTAAGTAATTTACTGAGAATCACTTGAACCCTGGAGGTGGAGGTTGCAGTGAGCCGATATCAGGTCACTGCACACCAGCCTGAGTGACAGAGCAAGACTCTGTCTCAAAAAACAGAGAAGAAATGATGGCTCAGGTGGCCACACACATCCCCATGTTTCAGACCACAACATCCCTGTCCCCACTCCCAATCATGACATCGTGTGAACACTTCCTTATTTCCACATCCCAAAATACCCCTTTTAGCCTTCATCTTACTTGGCCTCTCTCTATCAAAGATGGCCACTCCCGCTTCCTTAAAAATCTTACTCTTATTAGATTTGGCTTGAAAGGCACCTCCACCCACCTGGTCTTCCTCCTCCTCTGCTGCCACAGCCTGCCTTTGTGGCCAGATCCTTCCACCTACCCATTCACTGCCATTGCTCCCCAAGGTTCTGTCCTCATCCCCCTTCTCTCACCGCGTGTGCCCACTGAACACCCTCAACCTCTCTCAATACCGTAACGCCTACTGAGACCTCAACAATTCCCAAATTCACACCACCAGCATCTCTCTGTCTTTCTGACTCTACACACATATATGCAACTGCCTGTTGGCTGTTTAGCCTGGAAAACAAAAAGCCAAGGAGAGGATAAGATGGATAATTTTCAATATTTGAAAGAGTGTCAGGACCACAGAGCAGACAGGCCCAAATGGGTAGATTTCAGCTCAGCACACTAAAGACTTTTCTTTTTTGAGACGGAGTCTTGCTCTGTCGCCTAGGCTGGAGTGCAGTGGCACGATCTCTGCCTCCCAGGTTCAAGCGATTCTCATGTCTCAGCCTTCCGAGCACCTGGGATTACAGGTGCACATCACCATGCCCAACTAATTTTTGTATTTTTAGCAGAGATGGGGTTTTGCCGTGTTGGCCAGGCTGTTTCTGAACTCCTGACCTCAGGTGATCCATCCGCCTCAGCCTCCCAAAGTGCTGGGATTACAGGCATGAGCCGCCACGCCCAGCCTCCACTGAAGACTTTTCTAACAAACAGAACTAGCCAGCAACACAGGGGCTCCTTCTGAGGCAGTGAGATCCCTGCAACTAGAAGTAGGCATGGCAGATTTCTGCAGATGGCACAAGGCCAAACTAAACATCTATGTTTTCCCCCATTCTCAGATTGAGACTTCCTCAGCTCAGTAGAGATTCAGATAATTGAAAGGTTTTTTTTCATTTTATTGAGTACCTAAAATTACAATTCTTCAATACAGGACACTGGTTAGAAATCATTGTGATATTTCCTTTTTATTTGATTTTTTAAATAATCATGATTTATTCATCTTTTTTTTTCAGTCTCTGTAGAGATTGTCAAAAATTGCCAATGCTGAATATATTTCAAGTCGTCATGGTGGAGTATTGGGAAAAGTTTTCAATTAGCAGTAATCGCACCTTGGTTAAACCTCATTGGCTATGATACTGCCATTGCGCAAAGCTGATTTATTTATCAAATACTTTGTTTTTTGGGTTTTTTGTTTTGTTTTGTTTTGAGATGGGCTCTCATTCTGTCACCCAGACTGGAGTCCGGTGGCACGACCACGGGTCACTGCAACCTCTGCCTCCTGGGCGCAAGCAATCCTTCCTCCCACCTCAGCCTCCCAAGTAGCTGGGACTAGAGGCATGTGCCACCATGCCCAGCTGATTTTTTTTTTTTTTTTTTTTTTTGTATTTTTGGTGGAGATAGGGTTTCACCATGTTACCCAGGCTGGTCTCAAACTCTCGGGCTCAGGAGATCCACCTGCCCTGGTCTCCCAAAATGCTGGGATTACAGGCGTGAGCCACCAAACCCAGCCATACTTTGCATTACAAACTCATTTGTCTTATATATACACTCTAGTTTTTACAGAACAAAATCTATGTGGTCACTGATTGAAGGCTTTCAGATTAAAGCACAGTTGCAAACACACCAACTGCTTCTGGACATTTCTCTCCATTCTATTCCCAAACACTGTTTTTAAAAATAGTAAGGTAACAGATAAGGAATTCTAATTAAATCCAAATCCGATTTAACACAAAGAGTTTTTTTTTTTTTTTGAGACAAAGTTTTGCTCTTCTTGCCCAGACTGGAGTGCAATGGCACAATCTCAGCTCACCACAACCTCCGCCTCCTAGGTTCAAGCAATTCCCCTGCCTCAGCCTCCCAAATAGCTGGGATTAGAGGCCTGTGCCACCACGTCCAGTTAATTTTATATTTTTAGTAGAGATGGAGTTTCTCTGTGTTGGTCAGGGTCAGGCTGGTCTCAAATTCCCGACCTCAAGTGATCTGTCCATCTTGGCCTCCCAAAGTGCTGAGATTACAGGCATGAGCCACCACCCCAGGCCAACACAAAGACTTTTTAAAGGTTCTTAAATATCTTGTTCTCTTTTTTTGAGATAGAGCCTCACTCTGTCGACAGGCTGGAGGGCAGTGGTGCGATCTCAGCTCACTGCAACCTCTGTTTCCCAGCTTCAAGCGATTCTCCTGCTTCAGCCTCCCAAATAGCTGGGACTACAGGTACGAGCCACCACACCCAGCTAATTTTTGCATTTTTAGTAGAGACAGGGTTTCACCATGTTGACCAGGATGATCTTGATTTCCTGACCACGGGATCTACCCACCTTGGCCTCCCAAAGTGCTGGGATTACAGGCATGAGCCACTGCACCTGGCCCCTTTTTTCATCACCAACCTGGGATGTTATCAGGCAACCCTGAATATAGTCAAGGCAAATACTGCACCATTACTGAAGGCAAATGAATTTGTGGCAATATTTACTGAACATTTTCATGCTGGGCCCCATGCTATGAAACACCAATGTTGAGTAAGTCATAGTCCTGTCCTCAAAGAGCTCTTGGCCTAAAGAGGGAGGCAGACCCATGAGCCAGTGATCACAGTAGAGTAAGATAACCATTGTGTTGTTTGTCAGCAAGAACAGGGAAACCTAGACAGAGGACACTTACGAATAAGGTCTTGGCTGGGCGTGGTGGCTCACTCCTGTAATCCCAGCACCTTGGGAAGTCGAGGCGGGCAGATTACCTGAAGTGAGGAGTTCCAGACCAGCCTGACCAACATAGGGAAACCCTATCTCTACTAAAAATACAAAAATTAGCCAGACGTGGTGAGCGCCTGTAATCCCAGCTACGTGGGAGGCTGAGGCAGGAGAATCGCTGGAACCCCGGAGGCGGAGGTTGTGGTGAGCCAAGATCGCGCCACTGCACTCCTGCCTGGGCAACAAGAGCGAAAGTCCATCTCAAAAAAAAAAAAAAAATTCAAAAATGAGCCAGGTGTGGTGGCACATGCCTGTAACCCCAACTACTTAGGAGGCTAAGGCAGGATAATCGCTTGAACCCGGGAGGCGGAGGTTGCAGTGAGCCGCCAAGGTAATATCACTGCACTCCAGCCTAGGAGACAGAGCAAGATCCTGTCTCAGACAAAAAAAAAAAAAAAAGAATAAGGCCTTGTTTAATTAAATACCTAACCACAGAGAGGTGAGGAATAAAAGACTGCACATTATCGCTTCTCAGCCTTTTGGCCAAGATCAAGTGTAGTATCTGTTCTTATCAGTTTAATATCTAATATCTCTATCTGAGGACAATATATTAAACGGATTTTTGGAGCAGGGAGATGGAATAGGAGCTTGCTCTGTCCAATCCATGGATCAAACTCGTATTGCAGCACTTTTAGGAATGGTGCAACCCCTCAGGGGACAAAAAAAAAAAAGACGACATATTGGGTGCAGTGTACACTGCTCAGTGATGGGTGCACCAGAATCTCAGAAATCACCACTAAAGAGCTATGTAACCAAAAACCACCTCTCCCCCAAACACTATTGAAATTTTTAAAAATCATACCTAATTGCAAAATCTTTTTTTGTTGTTTTTTTTTTGAGATGGGGTCTCGCCCTGTCATTCAGGCTTGAATGCAGTGGTGCAATCTCAACTCACTGCAACCTCCGCCTCTGGGTTCAGACAATTCTTCTGCCTCAGCCTTTTAAGTAGTGGGATTACAGGTGCGCGCCACCACACACACCTATTTTTTTCCTATATTTTTAGTAGAGACGGGGTTTTACCATGTTGGCCAGGCTGGTCTCGAACTCCCAACCTCATGATCTGCCTAGCTCAGCCTCTCAAAGTGTTGGGATTACAGGCATGAGCCACTGTGCCCGACCTGCAAAATTTTAAGATAACAAAAAGGTAAAAGCAAAATTGTCACAATTTCATCATCAAATCAAATTTTTCCACCCATCCATCTTAACTTCCAATCTTTATACGTATACATGCAATTAATTCATATATGCAATATTATGAGAATAGTTTGAGAGTCACCTTTTCATGTCTTATATCATTAGTATTTTTCCATTTCACTACTTTTTTTTCTTACTCCCACCTCATCCCCTTGAGATAACCAATACTCTACATTTCTCTCTTGGTTGAATCACCCAATGGTAGAGCACCAGAACAATATTCAAATTAGAACAATTGGGCCAGGCGTGGTGGCTCGTGCCTGTAATCCCAGCAATTTGGAAGGCTGAGGTGGGCGGATCGATTCAGGTAAAGAGTTTAAGACCATCTTGGGCAATATAGTGAAACCCTGTCCCTACTAAAAATACAAAAAAAAAAAAAATTAGCTGGGCATGGTGGTGTGCACCTGTAGTCCCAACTACTCAGGAAGCTAAGGCAGGAGGACTGCTTGAACCCAGGAGGTGGAGGTTGCAGTGAGCCAAGATGGTGCCACTGCACTCTAGTCTGGGTGACAGAGTGAGAGTCTATCTAAAAAAAAAAAAAAGAACAATTGGTTAGTTCCTCTCCTTTTCTTGTTCTCCTGACATACTCAAATTTCAGCCATAAAAACCATTTTAATGTTTGTCTTTTTTTTTAAAGATGGGGTTTCCCCATGTTGGTAAGACTGGTCTCTAACTCCCGACCTAAGGTGATTCACCCGCCTCGGCCTCCCAAAGTGCTGGAATTACAGGCGTGAGCCACCACATCCAGCCTTAATGTCCTTTTTAAGATAATTTTTTGTTGACTCACGCCTGTAATCCCAGCACTTTGGGAGGCCAAGGCAGGTGGATCACTCGAGGTCAGGAGTTTGAGATCAGCCTGGCCAATGTGGCAAAACCCCGTCTCCACTGAAATTACAAAAATTAACCAGGCATGGTGATACACACCTGTAATTCCAGCCACTCAGGAGGCTGAGGCAGAAAAATAGCTTGAACCCGGGAGGCAGAGGCTGCAGTGAGCCAAGATTGCACCACTGCACTTCAGCCTGGGTGACAGAACGAGACTACGTCTTTAAAAAAAAAAAATTCTACCTTCTTACTCCAGTAAGCCCTATTTCCCTCCTACCCACCCTGACAGAAACTACCAGAAGGAGGAACAGCAAAGATTAACCTTCAAAAAGCAAAACAGGCCAGGCGTGGTGGCTCACGCCTGCAATCCCAGCACTTTGGGAGGCCAAGATGGGAGGATCAAGAGGTCAGGAGTTTGAGACCAGACTGACCAGCATGGTGAAACCCCGTCTCTAGTAAAAATACAAAAATTAGCCAGGTGTAGTGGCACACGCCTGTAATCCCAGCTATTAGAGGGACTGAGGCAGGAGAATTGCTTGAACCCGAGAAGCGGAGGCTGTAGTGAGCCAAGATCACACCACTGTGCTCCAGCCTGGGCAATAAGAGGGAAACTTCCTCAAAAAAGGTAAATAAATAAAAAAATAAAAAGCAAAACAGAGTCCTAGGTTCACAACTCTTCCACGGATCACAGCAGTTAACACCGTGTGAATTTTCTTTGCTTAGCTACTCATGCTCATATGCTTTTCATACTCTTCTTTTCTTCTCTCGCTCCCGCCCACCTATATATGTAATACCCCAACTCACAACTTCCGCCTTTACTCACGGTTTCAGTCGTCTCACAACTCCTGCTCACACGTGGACCAACACTACCTTTCAGCACCACCTTTCCATTTCAGCAGTTCTGCCATCCTCCTCAAGCCCCTAATATCTCTTGGCTCCATTTCTCCAGTTTACCTTTTCATGCCAGACATACTCATGGTCTCATCATCAATGACCTTGAGAGGAGGAGGAAAGAGGGGTATGGTGGTATGATCTACAACGGCCCTTTTAGCAAAGACAGTGGAAGGGACATTTTTCCCTCCCCAGGACAGCTTTGGCCATGACTCCCCTCATCGCCAAAGCCACTGCCTTCCCTCACAAGGTTCTGCCTTGTTCATACCCCTTGCAGGACCTTTGAAAAACAGTTTAAGGAGGCTAGGTGCAGTGGTTCACGTCTGTAATGCCAGCACTTTGGGAGGCCCAGGTGGGCAGATCACAAGGTCAGGAGTTCAAGACCAGCCTGGCCAACATGGTAAAACCCCATCTCTACTAAAAATACAAAAAAATTAGCCGGGTGTGGTGGCAGGTGCCTGTAATCCCAGTCATTTGGGAGGCTGAGGCAGGAAAATCACTTGAACCTGGGAGGAGGTTGCAGTGAGCTGAGATTGCACCTTTGCACTCCAGCCTGGGCAACAGAGTGAGACTCTATCTCAAAAAAAAGAAAAGAAAGAAAGAAAAACAGTTTAAATGGTTAAATGCTCAATTAACTGCTATGGAGTATACTAAAATTTCATATCTGAAAGCTTTTCTTGAGTCAGCTTCAATAAGGAGGCAGGAAGATATGGAACAATTCCTGAGCCCGTCAGACACAAAAGTGACTTATTCTAGTGTATCCCAGACCTGCCAGGGTGTGGCCCAGACCGTGCTGCTATCTTCGCACACATGCAGGGTCAAGAATGGACCTCAGAGTCACATGTGCATCTAGGTCCTATTTCTGCTGCTCACTGTGTGATCTTTTTTTTTTTTTTTGAGACAGAGTCTTGTTCTGTCGCCCCTGCTGGAGTGCAGTGGATGATCTCAGGTTGAAGCGATTCTCCTGCCTCAGCCTCTTAAGTAGCTGGGACTACAGGCACATGCCACCACATCCGGCTAATT